TAGAAAAAGGATCAATAAGAAACACATGTGATAGAAATGAATAGAAGAATACAATCACATGTTTAGCTAATACAAATATATGGCATGTGATTGTAAAGCAAAAGTAGCATGTGTTAAATGATGAACTTGGAGTAATGTGATGATCATATGGAGAATTTTAACAGGAATATGTGCAGTAGCAATTTTAATGGCTTTAGTTTTCTTATACAAATTTGCTGATACAAAGCATAGGGATGAGTCTCTGAATCATAACTCATGTTGCATCCTTTGACTCCAATTTCTGGGTGAGTTATATGGCATTCATTGCCATACTCGCAACACTGCCAAGGGAATAGCACATCCACAAAAGCATCTGATAAAAAATCTATGGCATCATGAGAGTCACAAAAGTTTAAATTCTTAAACTCCCATGTAATCAGTTCTGGAAAGGTATCATGTACTGCAAGGACCTCATTGTCATTGTGAACTTCTGTACTTGACACAATTTCCTGGATGTTAAACATGGCATGAAGTCCAACTGTAATTGGAGGTAGTTTCCTTTGATCTAGGGCAGCCTGCACAACATCACACAAGTCATTTGTGAGTTTATCTAGTTTTATAACCTGCTTGAGTTTGAGTGCATTGTGCAGATGTTTATTGAAAACCTGTGAGGGACATGAGTTGATGGACAACATATGGTTCCTCATACATTTCATAATGAGCAATTTGGTTTTGAAGAATACATCTATCAAATTGTAGATGCCTTGAGTCTTTAGTAGACTTGGATCAGGAAGTAAAACTGTAGGCAAAGGCTGGTGGGACATGTCGATCATGCTGGAAGTACCAGTCTGAGACTTGCAGAATCTGAGGTTAGCAGCCATATTGAGGGTGAGCTATATGCAAGATGATGCTCAGAAAATGCACCTTATATTTAGTTGGCTAAAACAAAAGAAGTAGTATATAAGAAAAGAATAATTTTACAGCAGGTGTTAACATTGAGTAAGTTACAATTTGTTAATTGTTCTTTGGCACTATAGGAAGGATAAAATTGGATGGCAACACTAGCTCCTTTGAGACAAAAGAATACTTTTTTTTTGTTCTTCTTGTGTTCTCACCATGACCATATCACATGAGTATACAGAAAAGAGTTGTTGTAGGCAGACAAAATCTAAGTTGTGATCATGATATTGCCAAATGCTGTGGCCTGCATCCTCCAAGTGAATTTAGATAAGTTGTAGTGGTATTTAATGGTGATTTGTTTGATGGTCATGATGGATTGTAGCTGTACCTTTTTAAATCTATGAAAGTTGCAGATCCAACAAGATGAAAAATGATGCAGGACACATTAAAAATCAGCAGAAGTTGTATAACAGCGCAAGGAAATAATAGAGCCCAGTTGTAAATGGATCAGGTTGTGAGATTCAACTTGAAAATAGAGCTGTAATCTGAAAATGTCATGTTTCCATGTCTAAGCATTCTTGGGCACACTGAGAAAGAAATTGCACACCAGTAAGATCAGAAAGTTGGACAGGTGCTGAGGTTGAACATTCATCAAGGATGAATGGGATCTGAAAGTTGAGCAATGTTAACACTGTCAAATGGGATTAGGTCCTCATGCCAAAATTCTAAATCTTGTGTGTGAAAAGTGATAATGCAAAAAGATCCACTGAAAGCAGGATTTGAACTTATGCAGTGAAACACCAAGTAATGAGAATTCAAATCACTCATCTTAACAACTCGACCATCCCAGCATGTAATTCCCATATTGATAATAGTCCTAGACCTTTTCAGTATCAAATTGCATTTTACAGGGACCTACCCATAGTTCAAGGTATAATGAAATAAGCCATGACTAAGTCCTATATATACTGTGCAAATTATTGAAAATTATTACACACACAAATATAATCTGGAATTGACTCATTCTCCATGGCACCTGTTATGGCAATGAACCTGATTGTCCCTCCAGCTTCCATTGAATCATAGCATCTTGCATCTCCATTAGAAAATTGAATTCCATGCCATTTGTTCTCCCATAGCCTGTCTGCTTGCTCAACAAACAACACCTCCTCAACAGACTTTCTTTCTTTCGATCAATGGAAAGGGCCATAAGTTTTCTATTACATTCACTCTTATATCTTCATACTGCTGCCACCATTATCTTGTCATAATGCTCAAAGAACTGTTCAGTGGCATGGACCACCTCTTCTAAATGTGCATCTAAGTCAGAATTGTTACACTCCTCAGCAAGAGTTATAATGTGAGGATCAGGTTTCAAGGGACCAGCAGGGTGTCTAAATGACCAGCAGTTTTGGTGCAAGTTGACTTCATCAATGAAAGTTTCCATGAGGTGGTACAGAAGAGAGAATGAGATGCATCCAACTCCTGTCACACATTGATGACTACCAGGGACTTTGGCATCCAATATGGCCTGTCATCTCTGAGAACTTTAACTTGTATAAAAACTTAAATAGACTGACCATGATGCCCTTAACCACATATTCCAAGCCTTCCAGCCACCTTAAATACAACTTGACCTCTAGTATCTTCATGCCCTCTTTCTGAATTTCTGCTTTTACAGCCAATTTAACCTTGTTAATGATATCCCATGCAACCAAAAGAACATCCTGATCACCTGTTTACCAGTTGAGTAGGTCCATGTCTGTAAATTGAGCAAAATGGCATACATCAGAGTCTTTTCATATTTTTGAGGTCATCAATGGTGGTGTCATCCTTGGAATTGAATACCCTTCATTGTAGAAGGTCATTTAGATCACAGTCTGGCTTTTCAGCTAATCATCCATCTGAATGAGCTGTTTAATGGATTCACACCACTGACTTACTTATGCCACTCCATTCTCGCTGTGCCTACTTTTGCCGGGGGGTCACAGATGCTTCAGTGTCACTTGAGTTAACAACATCTCAACATTGTTTGAGTGCATACTGAACCCAAGAAGACAAAGAAGATGCAGAAGACATGGTGTAAAGAGAGAGAAGGGGGGGGGGGGGTGTTATGTCACAACAATATGACAATGGAACAGCATCAACAAATCAATGCCACATGATTGTTGAGGGCAGGCTGGAATGTGTAGCATCCGAGCACATGCTAGTTGCGACAGGCTCACCAACTTAAGTGTCAATGCAAATTGATAACATTTATCATAAGCTATATAACTAGTTGTATGAATACACCCATGGGTAGAAATGAAACTTATATACCACCATAACTCAGGCTTTCCAAGGGTATTTAAATGGGCTAGGTAGCAATGTACATCTCTGGAGGAAGTTTGTGAAGAGAAAGGGAAGTACAAGAGAAGCAAAACGAGCTGCAATACAGAGAAAGACCACAAATAGACCAGCCCACATTCTACAGATTATGACAAGAATTCTGAGCACAGTATTATCATAGAATGTTGAGATCAAAATGCAGACAAACACTCTTGATCTACTACCACCACCTGACCATGGATTTCCATGGTCAAGTAAGGGGGCAACAGACTTCACAGTATTTATATATGGTGAGAGCATAATAAAACAACCAAGAAGAGGGACAGAAGGCCTTCTGAATGCATACCTAGCAACACAAGCGACATTGTTACCAGCATAAGTCAACTCTAGGCAGATGCAAACAATGGAAAGTGGATGTTTTTGGACAACTTGAAGAGCAGGACCCAAGAACACTGACATGCTCTAGGCAGAGACCAGAAATGATACCAGATGTACAAATGGAACTGGAATCAGAACTGGAAATGTGCACAGCAACTGAAGCTGAATCAATTGTAGTTTATCAGCTCAAAATCCTATGTAGGAAACTGCAACAATTCTCAGACCACCATGTAAGAGGAGCACATGCAATGGACAATGCCTATGCAATCGCGAAGAAGTTCATACCAGAGCTCATAGTAGCTAGTGAGAAACATAATGCTGATAGAAATGCTGATTCCACATGAGCTCTACAGAAAACTATGGAGCTACATTCACCTGTCAAAGACCTAGCTAAGGTGGTAACTGCTCAGGCAGCACATCAGGACACCAAGCTAGCAACAGACAGAGAGAACAATAGAGGAACTTCAGAGATATCGGGGGCAAAGTCAAAGACCTAGCTAAGGTGGTAACTGCTCAGGCAGCACATCAGGATACCAAGCTAGCAACAGACAGAGAGAACAATAAAGGAACTTCAGAGATATCGGGGGCAAAGTCAGTCCTAGCCATGGGGCTGGTATACAGACCCACCAAAGCCACTATGACCCAAACCAAGGCACCAGCCCAACACCAACAAACCAATCCCTGCTCACTCAAAGACCAGTACCACCCAGCACACCTTATTGTCATCCTGCATAGAGAAAGGTTTGACACCAATCATCTGAACCCATGTCAGCTAGTCAACATTATAAATAACCACCTGTTCTGCTCAAGCAATGCAAAACATCTATGTGTTGCTTCTGTACACTACAACTACAACCAAAACATTGTAATCATGATGAGGGAAGACCAAAAAGGCAAAGAGCTGTGAGAACACACAGGAGAATTCATGGACATTTTTAGGGTGCCAGCTCACACCATTGATATGCTCACAGATGACAGATGATACAAAGTCAGAATCAATGGTGTATGGACAGGGAGAGACAATGAAGACAACACCCACACCCTCAATGACCTCTTGGAGGAAATTGAAAGGTTAAATCTGGTAATGTCAAAGGTAAAGTTCATTGGCAAACCCAGATGGTTATGAGCCAAAGCAGATCTGAGACAAAAGGACTACTCATCAGTGGTACTAGAGTTTACGAAGGAAGATGATGCTAAGACAGTACTCGTGGCAAAGTACATAGCAATGTATGCAAGATTCTGTGAAGTCATCCATGTGGACAGACCACCAGTGCTGCAGTGCAGCAAATGCTGAACACTCAGACACCATGTATCATACTGCAAGCAACACACAAGGTGTTGACTATGCACTGGCAAACATGGTGAGACTAAACACTGACAAGAAGAATTCAAGCTCAAAGACTCAGAGAACACAAGTCAGACAGAAGAGGGACACACAAAATGTGCAAATTGCAGCGGTGACCACCCAGCCATGAAGAGGAACTTCCCAGAAAGAAAAAGATACCAGATGCTAGTGAGAGAGAAAGAAACTGGGGGACTGGAAGGGGGGGCCATAGCAGGGAAGAGGAAGAGGGGGGGAAAAAAGAGGATGGACAGACAGGAGAAAGAAGTGGAGACAGAGAAAGAAGTGGAGATGGGAAAAGGCAGTAGCAGTAAAGCCTCTGTAGTATCACTTCTTGATCTCACAAACGTTGCAACCATGGAACAGGTGGAACACCTTCTGTTTGTGGCAGAAGAACTAGGGGACCCAGCATCCATTGATATCGGTGAAGAACCATGCACATAGAAAGAGGCATAGGAATCGATTTACGTAAAAGAATGGGAAGCTGGATACCGTGATGAACTGAAATCACTCAAGGAGATGGGCATGTACAAACTAGTACCTTGAGACCAAGTCCCTGCAGGACACAAAATCAGAAAGGGGCAGCCTGTCTTCAAGATAAAACATGATGAGACCAGGAAAGCCGTTCATTTCAAAGTACGTCTTGTGTTCAAGGGATTCGAGCAAATATATGGGAGAGATTATACCAAGACTACCTCACCAACAGCATACATGGAATCGTGGCAAGTATTGCTTCACCTAGCCGCAGCGCAAGGATGGAATGCTACCCAGATTGACATCAAGACAGCTTTCTTATATGGTTTGTTACCAGAGGAGGAGATCCAATACATGGACCAGCCTGAAGGGTTCAAGGAACCAGGCAAAGAAGGCTGGGTATGGTGTCTTGTGAGAGGCCTCTATGGCATGAAACAGGCTGGTCGAATCTGGAACCGCATGCTGAACAATAACATGCTGTCATGGAGGTTCACACAGCTTCCTTGTAAATCGTGCATATATTATAGAAAGACCAAAATGGGTACAGTCATAGCTGCGGTACATGTCGATGATTTTCCATCCATCGCAAGTAGCAAGGCCGAAAACGAATGATTCAAAGACCAACTACGATCTGCCTGGATGATATCTGACCTTGGCTTACCAAAATTTGTTGTAGGCATTGGCATCGAGTGGGACCCAGAAAACCGACTCGTAAAGCTCTCACAAACCACATTGATTGACAAAATCATATTCCAGTTTGGACTGACGCAGTCCATGCCACTCTCTCTACCCATGGAACTGGGCTTGAAGCTAAGAAAGGCCAAAAAATTATCCATGACATCTGATGAAGCTGTGGTGCTACAGAAAACTCCATACAGGTCTCTAGTAGATTGTCTGCTATACATTGCCATCTCCACCTGCCCAGACATGGCCTACACTGTACAACAACTAACTCAGTTCATCGACTGCTACAACATGACTCACTGGTAAGCTGCCATTCGACTCGTCTGATACTTGAAAGGCTCTAGAGATCTCAAGCTTGTTTTGGGTGGAAAAGGTGAACCCATTAACCTCACCAGCTTCACTGACTTCGACTGGGCAAATTGCCTCGACACATGCCACAGCATTGGTGGCTATGCCTGGAGCCTAGGGTCCAGACTTATTTCATGGGCAGCACACAAGCAGAAATCTGTTGCAGCCTCATCGTGTGAGGCAGAATATATGGCTGCTCTTTAAGAGTGCCCAAGAATGCATTTGGCTAAGGACCTTACTGAAAGAAATCGGCCACGACGTTACCACCACCGCCACACCCATACTATGTGACAACAA